GGGGGGGGGGTGTCCCAAGGCAAGAGACGTTCAGCGGTGATTTGCCATTATCTGCCTCTGTGTCCCAGCCTTGGTATTCCTTGGAGGTCTCCCATCCAAATACTAACCAGGACCGGCCTTGCTTAGCTTCCAAGATCTGACTGCTACCCAGAGCTTTACATGACCCCAAACTTACACCTGGGGGCAAATCCCAGGCAATTCACCTATGCTTTGCCAGATGCCTTCCACAAGGGCATTGTCCCAGACCAACAGGAAAGTCCCCCCCCGCCCCAAATTTGGATGCAAAGGAAGTGTTGGTGGGGCAAACATAGGTAAACCATCCCCACTGACCAATCCTGATATTCCAAAGTGAAAAGCCACCCTGGGAGAGGAAGCTGCAGCCAGACACACCTGACTGACGCAGAAGCTCTTCCCAGCAGGAAAAGGAGAGGGAGGTCCCCTCCTTTGGTTGGGAGAAGAATCTGCTACTTGCACTTGTCTAACTTGCTCGGGATCTTTGTGCAGGTGCTTTTTTTTTTTTAACTATGGTAGGTGGCAAAAGATAACTCTTGGGGTGTGTGTGTGGGGGGGAAGAGCTGCAAATTATTATTTCACTTGCAGAAAACAATCTAGTTTCTCCATCACTGAAAACCTTGCCTGATTTTAACTCTGATTTGTTTTTCAAAGGATGCCTGACTTTTCAGGGATGAGATGCTTCAGAAAGGGATTCAGAAATCCTTTTATGATTTTGCCAGATGTGGCACCTAATTATAAAGCTTAAGTATAAACTCCTCTGGGAAGAGAGAGCGCGAGAGCACTGCAGTAATACAAGACTGGGCCTGATCCTGACGGGAGCCTCTGGGTCCTGGCAACAGCACTAAACATAAAACAATGAGGAAGGCGTGGTCCTGCAGGTAGAGCACCAGGCTCGGAACTGGGAAGATCTGCAATGGGATACAGCAGCATTTGTCAGGTCGAATTCACTATCAGTAAATACATTTATGAGGCATTAAAATATATGCAGCCCAGGCAAAGTTAAGCACTTTTAAAGTCCCATTGATTTCAATAGGTGGTTTGAGCACAAGCTGATGTCTCTCCCATTGGCCACAAAGGATTGTAAAACAGTTAAAAACTGAACTAGATCGACTGACCGTTCATGGATGGTGTATTTTTCATCTAGATAGGAAATTGTGTATGCCCCAATGGTGTGTCTAGAGGTTGGGGAACTGCGTAGGCAATACTAAAGAGACTGACATGTTTACAAAACATGTATTTTAGAAAGAAAGAAATATCGTAGGAAATAACCAATATTTTCTCTGTGGTTGCTGTAGATTTTCTGGGTTGTGTGGCCATGGTCTTGGCATTGTAGTTTTGCCAGTAACTGTGACTGGCATCCTCAGAGGTATAACACAGAAAGATGGAGTACTCTCTGTGTCAAGGTGAGAAGAAAACGGTAGGCAGGTAATTTATATCTACTCCAGAAGGTGGAGTAGAGCTAAGTCATTATCTTGTAGGAGTTCCCCAGGCTATGAACATGTTAATGGAGGCACTTTCCTGAGGAGGTTCTTTTGTATATGGATTGTTCCCTGAGGAGGTTTCCTGTTTCCCGAGGAGGTTCTTTTGTATGTGGACTGGCTGTTGAAATTCTAATCTTATCTGTAGTGCTATTGTCAGATATAAAGCCTTTTGTGTTATTCAGGACAGGAAACCATGCCCTATTTATTTTTAAACTCTCTTCTTTCCCGTTGAAATTGTGTTTATGTTTATGTGTTCATGTTTATTTTCTCTGTGGATTTATTCCTTATCACCATCTCCCTGTCCCATGTAAAGTAGTAGTTTTTGGCCTGAATTTGCTTAATAAACTCTCTGGAATAGAGAAAGTTTCTTACAGTGCATTCCTAAACAGAGTTTCCACCCACTTTCAGTTCATGGGCCTTTAAAGCATGTAACTGTTCCTTTTCTTGTGGCACGTGTTTGGAGTTATAATGGTAACACACATACTGCGTACTGAATAGTTTTATGAAATCAATCTTTATTAAACACAACATGTATTTTCACAAGGATGCCTTTTGATATGCATGTGTCTCATAACACTGAAATAGCAGAAATAGGGACAGTGGGTTGGATCCAGACTACATTTACCACTAATGGAAAGCTTTTCCACCAGCAGAACAGCCTTTTCCTGCCTCCCCCTTTGTCCTGCAGCCCAGTGAACTCCCCCAAATGCTGCTCCTGGGGAACAGGAGATTCTCAGGAATGACATGAGGGACAAATTGGGGGGATCTGCGGAAGGGAATTGGCAGAAATTGCATCTCCCCTTCCATTTGCAGAGCAAGGATTCTATGTCGTAGACTAGGTTGTTGTACTATTGTGGTTTATTTTGCTGGTCTTATGACTGTTTTTAATAAACTTGACTTCCATTTGCAGAACATTTAGTCTGAATTGACCCCGTTGCCTACATTCAAATTTCTGTTCTTGATTGGCACAAACCGTGCTCCTTGTTCTTGCATGTTCCTCTTATAGATCTGAAACATTCAGGAGATACATTTAAATTACATATAGAAAAGCAAAAACCAAATCCACTTGTGAGAATACTGTGTAAACTGATAGGGAAATATTATTTCCCCAGCTTTCAGAACCCCACACTGAAACAAATTTGCTGGAAAGCACATTAAAAATATTCTTTGAAAAACATAATGCTAACAATGGATAAATCTGTGTGTGCAAGGGAGGGGGGGTAGGTAAACATGATATTCTGTGAATTTGATTGGTTCTTCCCCTTTGAATCGCAATTGTATGAAAACTAAGTTTCTCAGGCCATCATAGAAAAGAAGTTTTAAATATCAAATTGTTTAATTTTTTTTTAAAAAAGCATTGACTAGCAGCCAGCGAAGCTTAAACATAAAAATCTAATAATGACACAATTGCAAACGTCGTAAGAAAACCAGTCACAATGGACTGGTGCTTCCATTTTAACAAAAATACATATTCTCTCAGCAAGTACATATAATTCCAGTCAATGTTAATGGAAGTTACATAAGTACATTAAGAGGATAATGTACCCCCTGGTTGGTGACAAGCTTTCAAAGTAGCTAGGGCTTCCCTTAGGAAGTGAAGGGGTCTTCCATTTCACGTTACAAAAGAGCTAGCTTGCTGTGCCATTGTATAGTGCTAAGTTTTCAAAGTGACTTCATCCTGGCGCTGTTTTGTCAAAACCAAGTGAGACTGCTCTGATAGTTTTAGTACATTTCACGCAATGTGTTTGAAAAAAACCCCCACAACCCAGATCCTTTTAAATATCTAAACTGTGCTGGAATTATGGTTAAAAGAAATACACTTATGTGAAATTTGCAAAAAAAAAACCCTCACGATTACTGTAGCTTTGGATAGGTATTTATCTTGCCAGGAAGCATTTGTTACTTTTCTGTCTGGGTTTTTTTTCATATGCCTGTTTCTATGTACATACAAATTTATATGCAAAGCATGGACTCCGAGGTAATTCTTGAAGCGTGGCTACAATTTACATACCACTGAAAAAAGAGCTCACGGGGCCAGCCATAGTATCACTGAACGGCTTGACTTTCTCGTTCACTTCCCCATCTGTGACATGGAAATCATCATGGTTTGTCTCCCACACAAAATGGAAATGCGAAAGAATAAACTTGGGCCTATCATGCATTTTACATGCTATTTAAATTATAAGTAAAATAGGCTCTTTCTACCTGTTAATGTTTTCACATTGAACCTAATGGTTTTTCTGGATTTCTTTTTGGGAGTGGGGGGTATATTGCTTGCTCCACTGAACCTTACAGGCTCACCACATCCTGAATCCCCTAATGCCCTTCTCTCATTATATTCTAAAGCTGGAAATCTGAGTTCAAATCCTAACAAAGCCATAGACTTACAAGGTAATGTCAGGCAAGTTAGTGATCCGCCTTGTACTCTGTAATGCAAAACGATAGCATTAAACTAAAACACACACACACACATGCCTCTTTTTACACACAAATGATAGCCTCTGCTTACAACCGCCATCGAGTTTCAAGAAGCTAAAGGTAAAGAACGATGCTATCTAGCTGTTTAGGAAAAATGGCAAGTTACTATTTGTAATTTAGCTGCTTTATTTATTCAAGAGATTTCTCAACCGCCTCGCTGCATAAATTGCTTAATTAAGTTTAAAATAGAAGTGAAATAGAAAAATGGTCAGATGAGAAACAGTGATAAGGAAGAGCTAGTTTTTAACTGTAAGTAAAGAAGATGAAAGGGGGGAGGAGGAAAAAAACCCCATGACAGGGCAATAATGCAAGTTAAGCACATCTGGTAGAGTTGGGTTCAGAGTATACTTGTGTGGTCGCTGCACGATGACCTGCCTTGCAACCACATTTGTTTAGAACTTTGTTTCACTTTCTGTTGGAAGAACTGGCAGGCTCACACTGAATGGCAAATTGCAGTGAGCCAAATGCTTAAAGTAAACTCAAGGTATCTAACTCCAGGTATATCAACACACCAGATTCTCATGTTCGGAACCTGGCACTTTAACTCTGAACTAGAAGTTTGGGAAGCAGCCCTAGGAAAAAGCAGACTGCCTTTCGTTCCAGGAAAGCAATTCACCAGTACTACAAACACAGTTGTGCCTATGGCTTGGTTTGAATTGGCACTGCAACTACACAAGTAGAAGACCACCACCAACT